ATCACTTTATTCGGGAGAACGTTCAGCATGGTTTACTCAAGATTGGCTACATTGATACAAAGAGTCAGCTTGCAGATATGCTAACCAAGGCGCTTGGAACCAAGATGCTCTAGTTTCTGCGAGAGGCAACTGGCATCAAGTCCAAGTCAGCGACAAAGCATAATCAACATTAGCGGTGAGTGGGAGTGTCAAAATTACACCGCTGAATGCATGTGGATGATTACGGATGCTGATTACGGACATAATGGTAGTCGCTCATTGGTCTATATAGATAAGGTAACATTAAGAAACTTCTAGAAGAATCTAGAAGGACAGGCTTAGAGCTAGCACAGAGTAGCGAACTAAGGACCTAAATATATTCACTTCGGTTTTTGCCATCTTATCAACACATTTTACCAGCAAAGGACCAAGATGAACTTGACGGTTTCAAGTCATATGACTGCCGAATAAATCAGCGTGTAGACCACTTCGAAAGCCGCTACTTTCCACAAGCTAGTAAACGAGTCTTGTATCGACAAATTTCTTCCTTTGCGTAAGTCCTTGTACTGAGAGAGCATAGCATACATCTGGTCTAGTACCCATTGCAATGTATAGTAGACAACCCATCAATATACGAAATGGTCGTTTCTCCATTGCTTCTCTCTCATCCGATTTTTGGGGAGTCATCTCGACTTAAATTCATTCCACTATCACATGGGTTCTGGATGGCCGTGCATTTGATTGATTGAAACGCTTAGCTGCTTCCTCGATGTAGTGGCTCTGTGATATGGTTAGCGTCTTCTTGTTTTTTGCATGACTCATTTCCATTCCAAGGATCAACTTTGCTCGACCTAAATCTTTGATACGAAATCGTTGAGTGATTTTTGATTTGATTTCATCCACTTCTTCAATGGTTTTGGCCAATATTAGCATATCATCAACGTATAGGCAGATGTAAATCACAACCTCAGGTCGATCTTATAGATGCATGAATCAGTCGCCAAAGGTATGAACCCAATTTTCAGTAAGACGTCGTTGATGGTCTTGTTCCACACGTGGGCCGCTTGCTTGAGGCCGTAAAAGGAACGGTTCAGTTTCAGTCTATCTAAGATATCTTTAATTTTTTACTACTTTGCGTTTGTCGCATTGGATCCCTCAAGCACTCTCATGTATACCAACTCATCGAGCATTTCATAAAGAAAAGTAGAATCTATTGGAAAATCGGTAGACCTTGGTAACAGCATACTGATAATTCTATGCGGATGGTGTTCAAGTTTGCTACTGGTGCGTAGGATTCAAAGAAATTAATACTAAATCTTTGACCAAATCCCTGTGCAACGAGTCTCGCCTTGTATCGAATGATCTCACCATGTTTCGTTCTCCTTTCCCACTTTGATCCAGTAGTTTTCATACCAGATTTTGAGATCTACAACATCCCATGTGTTGTTGCGAACTAATGAGTCAATCTCATTCTGAATAGCTTGCTCCCAGTGATTTTGCACTCTCCATTGCTTGCGTCGCTAAATGATGTTGACACATCAGCCATGAATGCTACCATGTCATCATCATCATTAATCCATGAACGCTTTGGTGGTCGCATATCCATATGATCAGAGTCATCGTGCTGACGTCGTCCCCCACTGGCTCGAACACAACTATGCGTCTTTCATGAGTG